ATGTATACGCACACACATATAAATATTGTATATGATCTATCTCATCATTAGTAAATTATTTTTTCTTTTTTTGAGACAGAGTCTCACTTTGTCATCCTTGGTAGAGTGCTATGCATCATAGCTCACAGCTACCTCAAACTCCTGGGTTTAAGCGATTCTTTTGCCTCAGCCTCCCAAGTTGCTGGGACTACAGTTGCCCGCCACAGTGCCTGGGTATTTTTAGTGATGAAGTCTTGCTCTGGCTCAGGCTGGTCTCAAACCTGTAAGCTCCACCCACCTTGGCTTCCCAAGTGCTGGGATTACAGGCATGAGCCACTGTGCCCGGCCTCATTACTAAATATTTTCAAATAATAATAAAAAAAAAGCTAAAGTACCCTGTACTAATCTCACAGGGTTGTTGAAAACATTTACACAGAGACAACAGATATGACAGAGTGGTACCAGCACAAGTATGTTATGACTCACCCACCCTTTATGCCCAGATTTGTGAAAAGGTTGTTGCTTTCCCATCTCTAGCTCTCTGCTTATTCTAAGTCTAGAACCTCACGCACTCCCCAGCATACCCCATCCCATTTTTCCTGCCCAGTACAGTTGGGCCCATAGACCTCGTTCCTCTGCTGGGATCTGCTCATCCATGTCCCAGGGTGGGGTGGTCTATCCTGCCTCCCTCTGAACTGAGCTCTCCAGCAGCACCCCCCACAGCCTCTCAGAAAGGGCTGCACATCCAGACATACTCCACAGGAGGTCACAAGGCAAGGCTGGAGCTCTGCCTGCTTTCCTCCCATAGCCTCCTGAGCCTGCTGGGACTCTGGCCAAATGCAGCTGAGGGCACAGGCAGGGTATAGGTGAGGACAGAGGCACCAAGGAAGGAGGAGTTCAGGAGAAAACTGTGTGAAGCCTTGTTCAGAGAACATCACAATACAATCTAAAGGACTTGATTGCCGATGGTAGTTTTAATTCTAGGACAAACCTAATCCCAGCATCGACCCAAGACCCAGCCGCGTCTGACTGCAAAATCAATCCTTTCAGCCCCTGAAAGAAACTTGGTGGTCCCTAAGTCCAGGCCTCCAGAAAGTCCTTCAGACTGTGTGCTTTCAATCAACAACAGATCTGCAACCCCCCTCTTCTTTGCTCTCTTGGTTTGCTGAGGAGAAATCCTGTTATGTGCCATACTGAGAGAGGGGAGGGAAGGATGGTTTGCCCAGCCATAAGAGCATCTTCACAGCTGGCTCACAGGCGGTCACAAGCCTGGCGGGTGATGCAGTAGAGAGGATAGAGAAGAAGCACAATCACAAGGAGGGTACACACCTTCTAGGGATATATCTGAGGGTGAGCTAGGGGAGGGGAGCAAGATCCACAGGAGGCTAAAGAAAGTGCACTGGCTGGGCAGGAATGAGGCAGTAAAGAAAACAGTAGTAGAAGAAACAGCAGGAGGAGGAGGGACATTTAAGGAGTGTGTATGTCTGTGGATTCAAGATAATGTCTGGGTCTGTGTTTCCAGGCTCTGGATCCACACCCCATTCTCTCTTCTTTCCTTTACTAGGTTGGGTTCTTGCAAACATCCTTGCCTCACTCAAGAGGTGTCCTTCATTTTCCCCAAGGACAGGGCTGCTCTCTTCCCCTAGCGACCTTGAGGTAGAGGTACAGCCTGATGGGGACTGTGAAATGGCACCACCCCCATCCTCCATCCCTTCTCTTTGGAAGTCACCTGGGCGGTGGTCATGTTTTATGGCCTCAGTAGCTATGAGTCCTGGCCCTGCCCCGCAGTACCCGCCTTCAGCACTAGGGACAGCAACCAGGGCAGCGGTTGCCCCCCACCCCCTCTGTCCCCGTCCCCAGCGGCCCCTGTTTTTCCTGGTAGCCAGTGATGCTGAACTGGGCAGGTGTTGGGCAGGGTGGGGTGGGGGAGATAGCGGAGCTCAGCTTCTCCCTCAGGCTGACCCTGAGCCTTGGGATATGGCATAATTTCTCAGATCTCCAGCAAGCAGGGCTGGAGGAGGCAGGGTTCCAAACTCTGGTACTCCCTATGATCCAGATGGGGTCCCGGTTTCCAGAAATGTGAAATCTAGGTCTCTGGAGATCCTCTGATGACTGCTTGCCCGTAGCCTGACAAGTCTCCGAGGACCTTCAGCCTGGGACACCTGCCCAGGAATCCCGGGCTGGGTTGGGGGATTTGTCTCTCTTGCCCACCTGGGGTTCCCTCGGCCGGAAGCTAAGCGACTGGGGAGGGCAGGGTGGCCCTGGAGCCCCTGTCGCCGCCACCGACGATAGGATGGATGCCCCCGCCCTCCCCGCCGGGCCCCCAGTACCGAAAGTCGCTGTAGGGGTGGATGATCCAGGCCCCCGCCGACTTCACCCGCTCTTGCTCGATTTCCACGGCTTTGTGGCTGCCGAACACCCGAAGGGAGAACTTGTTGACCGTGGGCTGGAGCAGCGTTCCGAGCTGCCTTCTCTTAGGCTCGGGCCCGACCCCAGGGATCCGACCTGCGGCCGCAGGCTTTGGCGCAGGAGCAGCGGGAGGCAACCCCTCCAGCCCGGGGGTCTCCCCTCCGTCGGCCCCAGCGGCTGGCTGCCGCTCCGCCTCCATATCGTCCAGCCCTTACACGCGCGGCCTCCTAGACCCGGCCGTCGCCATCAAAGACCCCCAACACCCCTTAAGAGCAGGAACCGGCGCAGTCCCGCGGGCTCTGAGCGTAGGCGCCGCAGGGTCGGAGCAGCCACCACCGAGTGCGGGGGGCGTGTGCTGCGGGGTCGCCTGCGGGCGGGCTGCGCTGCGCTCTCTGGCGGCCAAATGGAGACGGTGCGGGCGGGCTCTGGGGGCCCAGAGGGAGGTGGGCGTGGCCTCGTCAGCGAAGGCGGCCCCCTGGAGTCATGACGAGAGGGTGGGGCAGCTCAGCCAGAGCCAATGAGAAGGCGAGGTTTAGAAGCAAGGGGCTCTTATTCACTGAGAACCGGAGAGGTGGAGCCTTTTTCAAGTGGCGGGAAAAAACAGACTCAAGTTGTATTTTCCAGGACTCGAGAGGGCAAAGGATTGGGGGAATCAGTAGAAAATGTGGGCTACGGCTTTTGAGATTCTTCTTCCCCACCCTCGCCCATGAACTTCTGTCCTCTTAATTCTGTCTTCTCTCATATTCCTCTCTCTTGATCTTCTCCAAGCTGCTCCCCCTGGTACTTAATTTCCTAACTCATTCTGTCAACCTTTACCAAGTGCAACTCTACCCATCACTGAGTGGACGCTGAGGATACATAGAGGAGTACAAAAGTCCTAGCTTTAAAGCCACAGATGATCTGTGCCCAAGGACAAAAAGAACAGATAAATTACACTGCTATGTGATACTAAGTGTAATAAATATCACAAATTCTTCCTGTCATCTCCAATTCTTATTGCCACTGACTTGTTTCAAGCCCTCAGCAGTTTTTCATCTAAATTATTTCAGAAGCCTCTAAATGAGTCTAAAGTCTCTCCTAGCCCATTTCTTTGTCCACTCTCTGCCTGAGTTTCCTTTTTAAAATCCAAATTTAACTATATCACTTGATTAAAGTCTTTCACTTCACTGTATTCTAGAGTAGTACATTTAAGTATGACATACAAGGCCTGGCAAAATTTGGACCTAGCTTCAAAATCTGTGTTTTTTTGTTTGTTTTGTTTTTGGAGACAGAGTCTCAAGCTGTTGCCCTGGGTAGAGTGTCATGGCATTATAGCTCACAACAACTTCCAACTCTTGGGCTCAAGAGATCCTCTTGCCTCAATTTTTCTTTTTTTAGTAGAAACAGAGTCTCACTTTTGTTGAGGCTGGTCTTGAACTCGTGAGCTCAAACTATCCACCTGCCTAGGCCTTCCAGAGTGCTAGGATGACAGGTGTGAGCCACCTCACCCAGCCACGATCTCTCTTCTGATGGTCCCTCTCTTGAAAGCCAGAGGCCTAGTCATTCTGAAATATTTTGTTCTACTTTGTCTTCGGGGCTTTGCAATTATTTTTTCTGCGTGGTGTTCTTCCAATGCTCTCTCCAACAGTTGGTTCAGCTCTCATTGCCTCTGAGAAACCTAGAAACACATTTCCAGCTCTGCTTTTCCCAAATAAAGTCTACTCTAGAGCTTTTTTGTTTTCTTTTTTTCTTTTTTGCCTGGGCTAGAGTATAGCTCACTGCAACCTCAAATTCTTTTTTTTTGAGACAGAGCCTCAAGCTGTCCCCCTGGGTAGAGTGCCGTGGCATTACAGCTCACAGCAACCTCCAACTCCTGGGCTCAAGCGAGTCTCTTGCCTCCGCCTCCCAAGTAGCTGGGACCACAGGCGCCCGCCACAACGCCCGGCTATTTTTTGGTTGCAGCCGTCATTGTTGTTTGGCGGGTCCAGGCTGGGGATTCGAACCCGCCACCTTAGGTGTACATGGCTGGTGCCTTAGCCGGTTGAGCTATAGGAGCCGAGCCCAACCTCAAATTCTTGAGCTTGAGCCATCCTCCTGCTTCAGCCTCTAATAGCTGGGACTATGGGTGTGTGCCACCACAACTAGCTAATTTTTATGTATATGTGTGTGTTGTATGGGGTTTTATTTTCCTTTTGGGGGGAGAAGGTTAGAGACAGGGTCTTTTTTTTTTTTTTTTTTTTGAGACAGAGCCTCAAGCTGTCGCCCTGGTAGAGTGCCATGGCTTCACTGCTCACAGCAACCTCCAACTCCTGGGCTCAAGCAAGTCTCTTGCCTCAGCCTCCCAAGTAGCTGGGACCACAGGCGCCCGCCACAACGCCTGGCTATTTTTTGGTTGCGGCCATTATTGTTGTTTGGCGGGCCCAGGCTGGATTCGAACCTGCCACCTTAGGTGTATGTGGCTGGTGCCTTAGCCGCTTGAGCCACAGGCGCCAAGCATAGAGACATGGTCTTGCTCTATTGCCCACACTGATCTCAAACTCCAGGTCTCAAGTGATCCTCCCACCTTGGCCTCCCAAAGTGCTAGGATTTCAGGTGTGAGCCACATCTGGCCTTGTGTAGTTTTTTTCTTTTTTTAACAGCAGCCAGCACATCATTTTATAACTGCTCTAATCACAGGACTGCCATTATTTGTATACAGGTCTGTCTGCTCCATTAGATTGTGAAGCTCCCATTGCACCTGGCACAATTCAACTGCTTACTGAACAAATTAATGATCTAAAAAGTGTTCATGGATAAGTAAAATTCCCACTCATCCCCACCTCCTTCATTACACTCCCTCTTCTATTTCAGGGAACTTCTAAACCGTTTCTGATTAACGGACCTAATGTCCTCCACTTGATTATCCTCCATTTATCTCCTCTCTGACATTCCCTGACTTAAACATAGTTACCCTCAGGTTATTTTATTTTCCTTTCAATTTTCCCTTCCAAGGATTTCTCAATTCCTTCTATAGAGTCTCTAACTTTTTGGTTTGCCTCAAAGGCTCTCTCTTCTCTATTCCTTTTAAAGATTCAGTAAACGTATACTTCTCCCACATTATGTAAAGTACTTAGATACAGTTCTTGAGTGATTCCCCCTTTTTCAGCACCTGATTCTTCACCCTCCAGTGTTCAAACCTTCCTCCAGAGTCCTGTCTCTGTCCCAACACGTGCATAACTTTTGTTCAGGAGAAAAGGTGAGATCTTCTTTGTGCAGAGATTAGGTAGGTGAATTGTTCTTCACTCTTCGGATAGTTGTTTCAAGAAATGGTTATTTTCAGTCTATGCAGGAGACTCAGACCTCACTATCAAGACTCACTAAAGTCAGGTTTGCGGTGCAGCAACACTCGGTAAATAACAATCCTTCCTTTTAAACCTCCAAACCTAAGTAAGCCATACGAGTCTCAACAAAAGGGGTGACAGACTGAGGAGGGACGGAGAAGGGCAGGATGCGGGGGTAGCAGGCCGGCC